TATTTTTTGACTCATCCCTGAGGGAGACCTCAGCTGAGTTTTTCGACGAAAATAAAAGTTATCGGATTGTTTTGAAACACACATAGATCGACTCAGTTTTTTGCGCTGAACACGAATCTGATGTTGGATTTTTTTCTTTTAAATAGAATTCGAAGGTGAATACTTGAAATACTGATGATTTTTAGGCAAAATCAGCGCTCCAATGACAGTCTGCGTCTCCAACAGGTGTCTTCCCTCAATCGTTTTTAAATTCTAATAGATGGATTTTATAGCTAATGTAAAGGACTCTCGATGATAAAAAGGTAGTGATGTTTGCTCTAGCCGTTGAAGAGAAAGAACATCTACAATGGTCGCGTCTGACAGTCTAAATACGGTTTTTCAAGACCTTTCAGGATCATATTTCCACTATAAAGTCACCAGGACTAAAGCGAAAACCTTGATACTTTTAGTAGTGTTAGAGGGCCATATAGCCCACTAAATGATGTAAAGAAAATCTTTTTTTCTTCTTGTTAGTATATGGATAGGTGAACTATATCATATTGATCATAAAAGCCATTCAGGCCCAAAGACGTCAAATATTGATCATACTGAAACTTCTTATTCACTCTTGAAAGAAAAGTTGGTGCCGTCACCAAAAATGTTCATCTCAATGAGATCTTTCATTTGATATAAGATAGTAGGGATTCCGTTGAAAAAAGTTCGACAGGCCGATTTACGACCAAATACGCCCCCGTCCTTTCATCCATCTGGAAGATTGTAGAAAGTCATCTTAAACCAGTATTATTTATTGATTTTTCACTAAATGGGTTTGTTAAAATGAAAAAGAAGACACATTTATTTACTTCTGCTTTTCATATTAGTTGAATATCATATAGCAACTGATTCTGAAGATAATTGATGTAAAATTTGGGATTTATGTTAGATTAAAAATGTTTATAGTATTGCTGCTCATCAAAATTTAGTTTCAACTGTTAAATTTCAACGTATGTTTTTATGTTTAAAAAATTTTGATTAAATGAATTTTTGTTTTCGGTACTGAAGGACATTATTTAGTAACTGTTTCTTATGATAATACAATTAAATTATGGATGCATCCGATATGGTCAGCACTTTATTCTTCAACAGGTCATGAACAAAAAATAATGTCAGCTGATTTAACAAATTAGTTAAAAACTTCTTTTCTTTTTTCTTTGTGCTTATTTTGATGGTCCACTAGGTAGGCATCTTTTTGACTAATACTGGGTAAAAATAGGTAGTCATCATCATACATTTTCATGATCAATTTACGGTCTATTCATGGTCAATTTATACACTGTTCGATAGAGAAGTTGATTCTGAACAAAACTATTCCAATAGATCGAAATTAAAATGCAGATATAATGGTATAACGTCCCAAATACCTCCCCAAGGAGGGTCATCTATGGTTAGTGTAGGAACATTGTGAGAATCCTATCTTTAATCATCATGTCTAGCCCTCGTCTAGAGCTACAAAATAACACTCATGGATGTTAAGAAAAATGGTGGCTTCTATCACCTAGGATGATATTCTACCCAAAAAGCAAGAGAAACACTAGTAAAATGGACGTTGATAACCTTTGATCAACACTAGTTCAATAGAAATCGAGCACGTTTGCTAGGCAAATACTGAATAAAAAACACAGTAGTATGATACATTTTTAGTTCAAGATGGATTTGTTCTATATGATCAATCGATCGGGTAAGCTAGAAATGGTTTTTTATGTAATTATCATCTGTGGTGTACTTCTGAATTTTTTTCATCAAATGTTAAATCGATATTGAAATCAAAGTTAGTTTATATGTGAAGCATAGTCGGGATTTCATTAACCTCCTGGATTTCAACAGTTCTTGCGTTCTGTACGATCTTATAGAAAAATTGAAAAACCACTCGCTTGCGTCCTATCGTCATGAATTAGCCGTACTGATGAATATTTCGTTTCACAGTTGTTTATCGATATGACAGAACAAAAAAAGTTCTTGTATTCTGCTTATCTTCAGGCTGAAGACAGCGAGCTCTAAGAGACTAATACTGGTCACTCAAATATACTGTCGTATAACCTATTAGATCTCTATATAATCAAAGAAGCGCGTTCCATGATGAGTAATTTATATAGATATTCTGTTTTTGTTGACAGATTTATGTCTGATCTAAATAATAAATACATCAATAATTCGAAAGCGTAATAAATGTGCAAAATGGACATATCGTCGAAAACTAGAGCTAACCAAATTTTTTAGCTAAAGTTTTAAATGCTGAAGTTATCTAGTTGTTCAGGAAAATAATGTCGATGGTAAAAACAAGCTAAGAATAACAATCAGACTAATACAATTATTATCAACCAATTTAGACTAGCAATCTGTTCTTAAATCAATTTATGTTTTGATATTCATTAAGATCAATATAAATACGATTCTTCTAGCTGCTAGAATCAGATACCAAAATTTTGCTGTGATCGTCTTTTGTTTCTTTCCTTCGCAATAAACTAAAAACATGCTAACTCGTAAACAACCCTAAATCATCACTCGGTAAAAGTCATTTTGAAGGTATGTCTTTCTTTCATCCGTTGTTAGTCCAATAACCGATTTATGTTTTAAAATTGCTTATTCATCTGACTTCTATGAAAATTTTAGAAGATTTTAAGTGACTAATGCACAATCGATGTCGATATATATTATACAGCACATTCTCAATACGTTAACTACTGTAGTTCAATGTAAAAATATGAACTGAAAAATAAATTTCGCATTTTTTTTTAATTTTTTAAAAATTATTAATTTTCCTATTCAGAGATTTCGAAAAGAGAACGATTAAACGAATATGTACTTATTCATAGATAATTTATGAGGTTTACCGCTTAGATAAAAACTATTTTTTCAAGTTTTAAATAACACTTTAACTTTAACTCTCAAAGCAAAGCTAAAGTATCATACCTACTTCGAAACTGGATTCCGACTCCGCTAGACTCAGAGCCGAAGTCGGAATCAGCGAAAAATATATTTTCGGAGTCGAAGTCGAACTTGTAACCATCCTCGATTGGGTTTCTTTTCCGGTTTACTAAAATTTTTCATATTAGTAAATAAAACAAATAACAAATCATACCTGTCATATAGATTAATAATGAACTGTAGGATAGAAAAATGAGTAAATCACTTTCCCCTTATAACACTCGAACAATTAAACACAACGAAAATATAATAACATTAATCAAAAAATATATATTAATGTCTTTCAATGAACTACAGCTATCTTCACCATCAAATTTTCATTGTTCGGATAGAAAATATTCTAGGCAGATAAATCGGCAAGAAAACAGCATTTTTAGAAGTAAAAGTATCAGTTTTTTACACATTGAAAAACGTATCCTGTTCGGAAAAGAATGAGTTTGACAATGATAACATCCATAAACTTAATTTTTTAAAGAAAAATTTGAGGTTTGCAGTATTAAAAGCGTGTATTTTAAGCTATTAAATGAGCCATTCTTTGTTGGAAATCTGTAGTCTTTAAATGACATTGTTAAACAATTTCGAAGTTGAAAATCAGAGCCAAAAGGTAAACATTTTCGGAATCAGAGTCGGATTTTGAAGTGAAAAATTTGACTTCGTAAGTCTCTACTAATCAGACTAACGGGAAACAATATTTTTGATCTAGTAGAAAATACTTTGTAGATGTATTATATGATTTAATTTCTACGAAAAATAAATCGAAAGCTTACTTCAATCTCTCCTGAAATTGATATGGTGCGAATATGATTTGACCAACGTATTATAGATCGAAGAGGCTATTTTGATCAACATTTCAATTGTTCAATATTCTTTAAAGAATATTAACATTGAACAAATATCAAACAAAAAAGATTACACTGTTCGCTTCTTAGCAAACTCCACAGTGTCATTTTTGGTTCATAGATGGACAACATCGACTATGTGCTACTTCAACTACGTCTGTGTTTTTCGAATTCTATTCGAAATCTTCTAGAGGAAAGTGGTAACTTCGGAATTAACTTCATCTAATAAAATTGAAGTTGTCCATCTCTCTTCTACTTTTATTTTTGATAATATTTAGAAGATATGGCGTATCGATATAGATATATACATATATGGAAGTAAAAACAAAATGTTCTTTTATTGCGCACTGACAGTCATTTATCGTCAGAATCTTACTATATCGATTGGGATATGAACAATGCTTTGGTTGAAAATTTTGACATTCGTCGAAATAGTAGAAACCTCGACATCAGTAGCAAAATCTTTGTTCAGCAATTTTCTAGCCTCATCGATGACTTTGTCGTTTTCTAGGATAGCATCTCTCTTTAATAATTTGTTTACTTTAAAAGATTTGATAGGCGACAAATTGCGAACAAGGTAATTGACTTGTTTGAGCGGCAAACCTTTTGTTTCTCAGATGCAAAACCAAGTGCAAAGTTAAATAGTCAATTGGAAGTGCTCAACAGAGACATACATTTAGCTCGAATTGATAATGGATAAAGTTCACTTGTAATGACCCATACAGCTGAACCTCATTTGGATGTAGGTATGAGTATGAATAAAAAGAATACTCACACTCACACCGACATTCACACCCACCCATACTCGAATCCTGACCTAAGATTTCCTATGTCGAATTTTTTGTTAACATTTTTAAGTAGTTAATAGTAAGAATAAAGCATACAGAAATTTATATATGAGAACAACAATATTAGCACATTTTTATTAGTGTTTCTACTTGGTCTGTAGTGTAATATGCTATGACAATGTCTAACCAACTGTCTTGATTAAGATCTTTAACAGCAATTGAATAAGGTCGTTTTGCATACCCTAAAGGTTGCGTAGTTACGTTTGCGAATGTTCCGTTTCGATATCCATAAAGTGTAAATATGTCATTGGTTCCAGAATTTGCCACAGCAATATCCGATATATTGTCATTATTGAAATCACCGATAGCGACGGTGTATGGACGAGAACGATTACCAGTTGAATATATCACTGGACTTGCAAACGTTCCGTTACTATAACCAAAAAGGATAGCAATATTGTCTGTTTCAGAATTGGTGACAACAATATCTAGTTGATAATCATTATTAAAATTACCGATAGCCACAGAGTATGGAGTAGAACCATTTCCAGTTGAATATGTTTTCATGGGTGCGAAATATCCATTATCATCTCCAAGCATAATTCCAACATTCCCGGTGCCATAATTAGCTATGGCAATATCCTGTCGACCATCACTATTGAAATCATCAACGGCTACCGAATGAGGCTGTGACCCAACGCCAGTAAAATATTCACGTCCAGTTCCGAAAGGTTCGCTGCCATATCCAAGAAATATTTCTATATTGTTCGATCCATATTTGGCAACAGCAACATCTAATTGAGTATCATTATTAAAGTCACCAATCGCTGTCGCACTCGGTGAAGATTGGATTCCAGTTGATAATGGTCTTCCTAATAGAAAATTTCCATCTCCTAGGCCAAAAAGTACACTAATACTGTCACCTCCAGTATTAGGAATGACAATATCTGATCGATTGTCATTGTTAAAATCACCAACGCTAATACCTCTTGGATTAGTACCAGCTCCAGTTGAATATACCACAATAGGAGAGAAAGATCCATTTCCAAATCCAAGAAGAATACCAACAGCGTTACCATTGTAAAGAGCAGTGGCAATATCGAGCTGCTTGTTGTTGTCAAAATCACCAACAGTTACCCAACATGGTTGACTATTACGATATATTGAAAATGTCATTTGGTCTCTAAATGTACCATTGCTATAACCCAGTAAAACTCCAATAGTATTTGTACCAATATTAGCTACTGCAATGTCCAATTGACCATCATTATTGAAATCACCAGCAGTGACGTCGTAGGGAAGAGAACCTGCTCCAGTTGAATATGTCTTTATAATAGAAAAAGCTCCAGTCCCATATCCTTGTAGAACTATAATGCTGTTGGTACCATAACTAGCCACGACGATATCTAATTGACCATCATTGTTAAAATCAGCAACAGTGATACCGTAGGGAGTAGAATCTTTTCCAGTTGAATATGTCATAATGTCAGCAAAACTTCCATTATCATATCCTAGAAAAATACCTATATTATGAGTAAACATATTAGTCACGACAATATCCAATTGAGCATCATTGTTAAAATCACCTACAGCTATACCATGCGGTTCTGAACCATTTCCAGTCGGATAACTCTTCATATTAATAAAGCTACCATTCCCATATCCAATAAGAATACCTATACTATTACTCTCTGAAAATACAACGGCAATATCTAATAAGTTGTCATGATTAAAATCCCTAGCAACAATTCCAGTTGCTGCTATATCATCTATATTTGAGAAAGTCACCTGTCTCTGAAATGTTGTATAATTAAAGTTAAAAAATATCCCAATACTATCTCTGTCTTTATTGGCAATGACAAAATCCAATCGACTATCATTGTTAAAATCACCTGAGGCCATAGCATATGGATATGAACCATCTCCAGTTCGATACATAATTTGTTCTGAAAACGTTCCATTCCCTTGTCCCATCAAGATACTGATGGTCTCATTTTTTGAATTAACACTGACTATGTCTAGTTTATTATCTTTATTGATGTCACAAGTGATAACATACTGTGGACGAGAATTAGTACCAATTGAGTACATCATTTCCATACCAAACGTGCCATTATCCAAACCAAGAAGTATACTTAAATTTCCAGTTCCTGAATTGGCAACGACGATATCTGATCGATTATCATTATTAAAGTCACCAATAGCGACCGAAAATGGTTGTGGAGCAGAACCAGTTGAATATATGTTTTGGTGAACAAATTCTGCAGCATTATATTCAGTTAAGATTGCTACATCTCCAATAGCAGAAAGGGCAACGACAATTTCTAAGTGTTTGTTATTGTCGAGATCAGCGACCACTATACCGTACGGCTGCGATCGATCTCCAGTTGGATATCTCCTTCCAAGTTGAAAACTTCCATTGATATATCCATAAAAGATAAGTACTGCTGGATGGCCATAAGTGGTGACAACCATATCATATATGTTATCATTGTTGAGATCAGCAACGATGACATAATATGGAGACGAACCAATATCAGTTGAATAAGTTGTTTGTGTTGCGAACGTACCATTTCCATATCCAAGAAAAACGCCTACATTGTCCTTAACTGTATTAGCGACAGCAATATCAAGATGATTGTCACTATTGAAATCAGCAAGAGCAATCGTAAAGAGATTACCAAGTGTAGAAAGTATCGATTCCATTATAAACGTTCCATTACCATGTCCAAGAAAAATAATTACACTGCTTTGCCAATTAGCGACAACAAGATCTAAATAATTGTCATTATTAATATCACCAACAGCGACTGAATAGGGTTGAGAGTTAATACCAGTAGAATAGCTTATCATGGTAGCAAAAGTGCCATCCCCATTTCCAAGAAAAATACCGATACTGCTAGTGTATGTATTAGCCGAAACAATATCCAGTCGGTGGTCGTTATTGATATCGCTAAGAGCTATCCACCATGGCTTCGAACCGATACCAGTAGAATAACTCATCATAATAGAAAAATTTCCGTTCCCATATCCAAGAAAAACGCCTACACCGTCAAAAATCTTGTCAGCAATGACAATATCCATTCTGCTATCATTGTTTACATCTCCAGCACAGATATACTGTGGAATACCATCATGACCAGTAGAATACATCGCTTTTCTACCGAAAATTCCATTACCTAAACCAGTCAGTATGAGTATGCCGCTACGTACGCTAAAAACTATATCAAGAATATTGTCGTTGTTAAAATCACTAACAGCGACTGAGAGCACGCTAGACTCTGGACCATCATAACAGATCGTCTTTCTTGCAGATGGTTTTATCGAATAATTTGTCAGTACAAGTACATTATTAGTACCATAGTTAGCAACAACAATATCTGATTGATTGTCATGGTCAAAGTCAGCCACCGCAATCCATACTGGATTAGACTGAGATATTGTGTCAAATGTTGTTATTGTTGTAAATGTTCCATTCTCATATTCTGAAAGAATATGTACTCGATTGTTACTCGAATCAGCAATGATAATATCCAATTTATAATCTTTGTTGATATCACCGACAGTAATATATTGCGGATGAGAATTGAACCCAATTGAATATTCTTTTTGTGCTAGAAAAGTCCCATTACTATGACCAAGAAATATACCTATATTACCCGTCCCATTATTGGCAACGATAATATCTAATTGATTATCATTGTTAAAATCTCCAACTGCGATCGAAGATGGATTTGAATTTGGAAGAGTTGTATATATTTGTTGACTTGCAAAACTTGCATTACCGTAACCAAGAAGGATACCAATGTTGTTAGTACCATAATTGGCAATAGCAATATCTAAATTATTGTCATTATTGAAATTACCAACAGCTAATGAAAATGGAATAGAATCATAACCAGTAAAATACGTTATTTGATCTTGAAACGATCCGTTACCATATCCAAGAAAGATACCAATATTGTTAGTACCATAGTTAGCGATTATTATATCCATTTGATTATCATTGTTAAAATCACCAGTAGTAATAAACAAGGGACGAGAAGACCCAGTTGAAAACAGTTTTTGACTAAAAGAATTTCCATTGGCATGTCCGAAAAATATTCCTATACTATTAATACCATAGTTAGCAACAGCAATATCTAAATAATTGTCATTATTAAAGTCACTGATAACAATCGAATAAGGACAAGATTGAGGACCAGTTGGATATATTTTTTGTTCTTCAAAAAGTCCATTACCTTTTGAAAGAAATATCCCAATAGTATTTGAACCAGAATTGGCCACAACAATATCTATTTGATTATCATTATTGACATCACCAACAGCAACAGAACGTGGTTGTGAATCTGAGACAATCGAACTTTCCATCATTCGTTCAAAGTGACGTTGGCATGTTGTAACTACAAAACACAATTTTAAATAATTGAACATTAACCACTGATCCTTCATGAAGTTCTAATTTGTAAAAACGTTTATATATTTTCAAGATATATGTGAGTAAAGTTTGATCTCGATTGTAATTAACTTTTGCGGAGTTAGCATGAGCGATTTTGTTATTCAGAATGATTTATGTTTTCACTGCATGTCATAATTTCTTTTATTATTTAATAAATTTTAAAAATATTTTCTGTAAATTATTAATTATATTTGACAATTTGTTGCATATTTAAGTTAGAGTTATTTCTATTGTCTCATTAAATCACTGTTTATTTTGCTTGAATAATTTTACTTTTACTTAATAAATCAACTAATCAAAGTTTTCTTTTCATCATTTGAGAACAATATTTTGTAAATACATTCATAGTTCAATGTATTTTGTGTTTTACATGGAAGATATCTAATAGCAATGCTAGCGAAGGAAGACAACGGACTGTTCAATCGCTTTTGAGTCGAGACTATCTGCATTATGTAGTCACTAATGAGCTATCGATCCCTTGAGAAGAGTGCAGATTAACAACTTATTGATACTGAGATACTGCATTTGTTACAGTATGTCTTTTTTTTTAACAAAATGTCGTGAACTCATTCATAAACACTAGGAAACTCTCGACTCAAAAGTGATTGAACCGTTCGTTGCATTTCCTTGTAAATATTCCTTATATATAAAATGTATTTTGAATTTTATCAATAATTAATAAATTGAATGTATCACAGATAAAAACTAAAGAGTATACTTACTTGGCTTAGGTGTAGCAAAATACACTATCAATACTGCAGTGGTTATTGCTATACTTGTAAATAGAGCAAACATAAAAATAGCCATTAAAATTGGTTCGATGCGCAAACAGAAGCAAAACTTGTTGCTATAAACAATAAAAAGTATATTAAATTGATATTCTAAGATAAAATGCATACCGCAGCCGTAAAACTGTGTATAACCATTCCATTGGATATAGTTTTTCGACGAAATCAATTTGAAATTAAGTTTGAGTCGTGAAAGAATGTTGTTTAAGAATTGAGACGTAAATAAAAAATTTAATAATTGATTTAATTCTAGAATAGAAAATAATACAGAGAAAGATGATTTTAATAAAAGAAAATTTATGATATATATTCTATAAGGATTTGTTATTAATGAAAGTCGTCTATATGAGCTAAGAATACATTTATTGATTAAGTCAATATCTGTTTTACTCTGATGAATTATCAAAAGTTAAAATACATTTTACTGAATGTAAAAGATTTTTGAAAGTGTAATGACTTTTATTGGTAGTTTGATTATTGTGTCAATAGTTTACACCATTTTACTTAAAGATCAAACATGAGAAATTTAACTCAATATGTCAAAATAGAGTATTCTTGAAAACTTACAGACATCTTATTTTCACTAGACTTTATTCATCAATAAAATCAAGAATTCAATATTAAAAATGCATTTAGAAGCTTGAAAAGTTATTACTAACAGCAAAATTATCATATAATATCTATATCAAGTCAAGTATCATTACACTAAAGTAATAGATTTTTTTCGATTTGAAAATCATTTCAATCTAAACATCTGGTATAAATTAGAGAGAATACTTTAAATCGTAAAGCTCATACATATGTCATATGAAATTTATCAGGAAAAAGCTCATTGTTTAGCATACATAGGACCTTTTTCAGTGCTATGACAAATCCAAGAAATTGAAGATGCACAATACGAGAAAAAATACGATGATAGAAATAGAAATGCGAATGAATGTATTGAAGAAGATTAGAGAAGTTTCAGTGAAGATGCATCCATAAGTTGCCTAATTCGAGTTCGAATATAAATGAAACTTCAACTACATAAGATGACTTCGAAAATAGATGAAAGAAGAATCAAGCGGGTACTTGCTTATAGGAACAGAAAAAAACATTATTTCGATTAAGAATCATATTTCCGATAGGACTCTCCTATAACTACAGCAGAAAAGCAAAATAAAATTTTATTTCAATTATTATTTATCATTCAGATAATTTTTTTTTCTATTTTTACCTACTGGGGTCTTTATGTACTTTCGAAAATTTTATTTATATTCGGATTCGAATTAGGCATCTACTCATTTACTTTTAATTTAGACTCAACCAAGACGATTAATATCTGACGATAAATGCAGTAGTACTTTTCAAGACGACGCATTATTAGACTTATAGACTATGGAAATTCGATTCTCGTGCTATTAAAATATCATTCGTTAGAAGTGATTCATTTTGTAAAAATATTTCAGTAAACACTTGAAAAGTATTATTCGATAATTTTAAATTACTTTTTCCATTAATTTAAAACTCCAAACTGACTTAAATTTCTTTTTGTTGGCCTAAGATTATTTCTTACCTGTTTATTTCAATATGGACTATTTCATCAAATATTCAGCCTATATGTCGATGATGTTTTTTCTTTCTCTTAACTAATTTGTATTGCTACTAATCTTTCTTTATATAGCACTTGCACATGATGTATAAATACTTCGTAATAACATAATGACACTACAGTATTGACAATTTTTATTTTGTTATTATCCATTATTCCCCATCTTTGCTGTCACCTTTAGACAAAGATGCACTTTTTATTATATAGAATAATATAGGATAGCATGACGTCAGTTACTTTTTTTTCTTTGTACATTCATCACATGTTGACTAAATTTCTCAGGTATTTGTTCGTTCTCCCACTTTATTATTTATAATGTATTAT